TGAAAAGCGTTGAAATTACCTTCTACTAATAAATATCTCTCTATTTTTTTCTTTTTTTTTTTTTTTCAACAGGAGTGTAATAATATCATGGGATTTTTCTTTCCTAGTAATTTTCTTCAAGGTTTTTATTTATTTGATCTATATATCATCTTGTTTTCTTTTGAAATAAGTATTTTTAAATAAATGATGAATAAGTTGTAGCTTCTTGAATCGAGTATTTCTAACTCGACGCAACAACCTTGATCCTATTATAAATATTTGACATTTACATTAAAATTCTGATAAGTGTTTGATTTTATTGATAAATTAAAAAATGCTAGATCAATAGGATGATATTAAGATTTTAATCTAACATGTAGAATAGTAGAATAAAAGTAACAATTCAAGTTTTTGTTTTGCAAATTGAGTCAGTTTGAGTTTCGAATTACAAGTGAATGTTGTTTAGGTTTCTTCTTATCTTTAGTCATGAGTGAATAATTAACGATAATTATTGTGTCAGGGTGTTTTAAAAAAAAAATAATCATCTCATTTTATCATAAAATATACTTACTTGTATCTTGACAACCTCTCAACTCGATACGAAGACAAACCGTACGTCTGTGAACGGAATGTGGCAAGATCCGAATTTGACTAGCAAAAATTGGCGGTACGAGATTATGCGAGATCACCGTAGACGTGTCACTGTTGCCAGGGAAAACCTAAAATAAAAAAAAAAAATAAATTAATCCTCACATATATGTCACATATGTTAAAAACAATGTTAGAATATTTATTACACGAATTGTATATATATATATATATATATATATATATATATATACAGTTGATGTAAAAAGTATTCGTATACACCGAATCAATTTGAAATAAAATGTTGCGAAATTGTAATTTATTAACTAATTTTTTTTTTTATAAACAATAAATTTGTACACATTTTTGAAAGTTTTTACAATACAATAATCAACCGTGTTGAATTACTAATTCCACTTTAGATCACTAAATCTAAGCAAACGTGGTCACGATTAATAACATGGATAGAATTAATCCGAAAAACAACGAGAGACAAAAACCTTGTATCATTAACTCCAAAAAAAAAAAAAAACGATAAAAAGGAAGACTCGATCTTTTTTTTTTTGAATAGTACTCTAGATTATTGAAAATGTTATAGTAGACAAGATAATAAAAAAAGAATAATTACATTTTGAAATAATAAACGTTCGATTATATTTCAATTCGAATTTATTTCTAAGGGATATTTATATTGTAATCGGATTAGACAAATTATTCAATAATTAATAATTAAGAGTTCAAATTTGTCAGATTATTTCAATCGATTTTAGACAATTACCCAATCGCCGAGTCGTATTTCTTTAAATGATAAAAAAATGTGCAAAAATAATTATTCCAGATCCTGTCCTGTGATATGAAACACAGTATTTAATGGCGGCGAGTTGGTTAAAATCGATAAAATAAAAACAGAACAAATAAATGGAAATGATAGAAGTTGAAGATAAATAATAATAATAACAATAAAAAAAAAGAGAAAGAAAGAAAGATAGGTAAAGAAAGAGGAGATGGGTAAGGAAGGAGGAGTAGGAGGAGGAGGAGGATGGGGGAAAATAAATGTTAAATGTACCTCTTGGTTATTTGAACGTTTATATCGACGCCACTCGGTAAAGGTTGGTCGTCGATACTCAAGAGTATATTCCTCGACGTATTCCTGGCCACGGCCATGATCAAAACGACCTTGCGTCTGCACCCCAGTGATCACGTGACCTCCCTGAAGATCCACTTGTAACCACTCGCGAATTCCTCTTTCTATCTGACTCCTCGGACACCATGCGCCACCCGCCGTTTCCTTTCGCAGTCTGTTGAGTGTGGTGTATGTGTATGTGTATGTGTGTGTGTGTGTGTTTGTGTATACGTGTGTGTACGTTTGTGTATTTGTATAACACAAAAAGCAACGTGATATTGATTTAATGTCGGAAAATACTCTGTTATATAGTGAACGGGGGCAACACTTTGAAATCATTTTATTTTGCAACTGATGCTTTATTTCATTTTCTCTTGGTCTATCTATTCATCTATCTATCTATAGTATCTATCTATCTATCTATCTGTCTATCTATCTAACTATCTCTCTTTTTTTTTTTTTTTTCGTTATTTTTAAACGAATCATTTTTCATTATCGCTCGTGCAACTGCATTTTTATGAATTCTTCATTGGTGTTTATTTTTTTTTTCTTCTTCTATTTTTTTTCTTTCTTTTTTTATCTTTAACTCTCCATTTGTTTGTTATCTTTTTAATTTTTGTTGTTTTTTTAATATTTCATTTTTCATCCATCAACCGATCAATTATTATTTATTAAAAATTAAATTTTTATTCTCGACGTTGTATGGGGAATAATCTTTTTTTTTTTTTTTATTAATTGTGTTTTCGTTCGAATGATTTTAATTGAAACGTTTACAAAATATTTTGGATTGTTTTAAAATGTCGTTTAAAAGAGATAATATATATATATATATTTTATTTGGCTAGTTACAATGTAACGAAAGTTCGTGACCAATCGATAACAACATGTGGTGGCACATTCGCGTGAAAGAAATGCGCTTGTTGTGTTGCAAATAAAAGATAAGACAAGAAAAAATTACATGTATATATATATATATATATATACATATACAAAAAAAGAGAAACGTGAAAAATTAGAAAGATAGATAGAGAGAGAGAGAGAGAGAGAGAGAATATTAGTATTATCGGTAAAGTATTCGTTGTGCATGAAAAGATATTTCATCGTTGAAGTTTTTATTTTGCTTTAACCATATTTTTCAACGCTATTACGTTTTACAAAGTGGAAAATAATATCGTGTCCCATCGTGTTTCCTCAAAAGCCACCGATATATGTGTATATAATATACACACACACATATATATATGTATACAGGATATACCAATACATATAAACCAATATATATATATATACAGGTGTATATAAAATTCAATTTCACGCGTTCGACGTTGAAACGACGAAAAACGAAATACACTGACTCGAATATCGAAATCGACCGATATACTGTAAACCTTCTAATTTTTTTTTTTTGGGTTCCTCTCTCTCTCTCTCTCTCTCTCTCTCTCTCTATTTTTCTTATTTCCTTTCTCTGGAAATTTTCTCTCTTTTTTGTTGTTGTTGTTCTGTTTTGTTTTCCTCTTCGGTTTCGAATTTCAAAAATGACACGTAACATTTTAAAGTTATCAAGCTTAACGTCAATTATTTTCGTGAACGAGTAGATGTAAAATAAAAAAAAAAAAAAGATTGGTTTCGGATTAAACAAAAAACCGAATGGTATCGTTAAATTATAAATAGATTGTACGAATGTGTACGAAACGAGAAAAAGAAAGAAGAAAATGAAAAAGAGTGAGAGTGAGAGAGAGAGAGAGATAGAAAGCGTTACGATATCTTGTAGATAGGGGAAAGGGTAGTTTATTCAATTTCCTTTCATAAATATTAATGTCATTTTGTAAAATGATTTTCTTTCTTTTCTTTTTTTTTTTTTTCTTTTTCTTCTTCTTCTTTTTCTTCTTTTTTTATTCTGAGAAAATGAAATTGTGAATTTCATTAAATTCGTAGTAGTACGTTCTAGTATTTCATTTAAATCTTCATAACGTAATGCTATTTTTGTAGTAACACATATATATATATATATATATATATATATTATATCCTGGTAGCATTTTATAATTTTATTTTAATTTCTCATGACAAAAGTATTCGTATTAAAAAAAAAAAAAAAAAAAAAAATAAGTTTACGTTTGTTAACAATAAGTTGTATTATGTAATAGTATTAATTGAGCCGTTCAGTGTACACATCGATTAATTTTTATAAAAGAAAAAGTTGAGAAATGCGATGAAATAATGTATATTGTTTTTGAAATTTCTTTCAATATTTATAATATATATATATATATATATATATATATATATTATAAATTGTGTTAGAAGTAAATTTTGTTTCACGTTTCTATTTAGTACTAGTCGTTAATACAAAAAATCGAATATAATCGTAAATGATTAATATTAATTGAATTGAATTTAATGAAATATTAGTTTACTTTTTTATAAATGAAAAATTGAAATTTTTCTGCAATCAAATAGAAAAATAATTTCAAGATTTGATTATACCTTCCATTACGCGGACCAACATTGGTTACGTACGATGATGATGCAGTGATTGAAGAATCTGGAATATCACCGGATTCCATTCCTAACGACTGATTGCATGATCCTGTAAATTACAAAAAATACAAATGTAATTAACATACACGTATATATATATATATATAATTTATAAATACATAAATACATCATAGTTTTACAGGTAGGTTAGGAAAATGATATTTTGATCGATGCAAAATATGCATCATCAACATTAGTTATTCATTTCGCATGTATGCACGTATTATAATTGCAAGTTGAACAATTTCCACAGTGTAATTTCCACATGTACCGTTATCGACGTTTCGCAATCTCGCGTGTGATTTGTCTGGACGTTTGTGCGAAAAAAAGAAAAAAATTATTAAAAAAAAAAAAAAAAGTACCAAAGAAAGAATAGAAGAAGARAGAAAGAAAAGGGATTTTCGTTTCACTTCAAAAAGGGGAAAATTTTGCGAATGAGAATTACGTAGTTGTAGTTAGATTCTTTTCTTCTTCTTTTTTTTTCCCGTGATTGTCGTTGTATTTTCCTTTTTTTTAGATAGAGTAGAAATGTACAACATTAGTTAAAATTTCCGAAGGTAAACAACAGTAATTATACGAACGATTTGAGTACTGCATTCGTTGTTACTATTCGTTGTTATTCACGAAGTTGGGATAAGTGGCAAATGGTAAATGGCCCAAAAGACCGCAGGCAACGCTTCACGTTGTTGGCTTATTATCCAATCGCCAGTACTTATTAGTCGTCTTTCAGCTATCCTCATTCATGCTTCAATTTGCTTTTTGCATTTATCATCATTGTTCGCAAGTAATTTTTCCATTAAACTTTCTCATAGACGAAATGAATTAAGAACGGGGAGGGGGAGGGGGAGGGGAAGGGGGTTGGTATATTAAAGACGTACCAAAAATCTCTTTCACTAGAACGGAACTACAATTCTACTCGGATAGAAAGAGAGGTGGTGGTGGTGGTGGTGGAGGAGTAGAAGGAATGGGAGGTGGTGGTTCTTTTGAAATATTTTTAATGGGCCGGACAAACATGCAAACACGAATCCAAAGACTTTTGAGCTTGGACTTGCGTGTTGTTTAAGTCGACACTGAAATTCATTTACATAAACAGATGGAATATTTGTCGGTATAGATATTTTAGTTTCTCTTTCTCTTTCTTATTTATGGTGCAACGAACGTATTCTACGCAAAACTGTAATATAAAATGTTCCGATTAAGTTTTTTTTTTTTTTTTTTTATCATCGCAGGTAGCGATATTTCTTTTTATTTTTATATAAAAAGTTTTTTCCTTAAGAAATTACATTACCTTAGAGACGAACAAAGTTAAATGTGTTGTAAGTTGTCGTCATCATGATTGAACCGAATGAGAAATAAAATACAAAAATAAATGAGAGAGATCAAAGCTTGGGGGGGGGGATGATCGGGTACGATCAAGAAATTTATTTTTAATATTGCAGATATATTACTTGGGACAGGTTTTTTTTTTTTTGTTCATAATGGAACGTGATAAGCTTTGCGATCTAGGCCGATTAACAAATGCAAATTAGGCCTAAACGAACGAATACTTGAGCAAATTTATGCTTTACGCTCGTAAATGTTCTTGCCTTTCCTTCGACCTCCACATATTTCTTTTTTTTGTTTTTTTTTTTTTTTCTCATTGAAGGGTCTGCGAGAACAGAGGGAAGAGAAAGAAAGGTAGAGGTAGAGATAGAGAAAGAGAAAAGGAGGAAGGAGAGGGAGTACAGTAGGATCGTTTGATGTTGTCCTACACAAACGTTTCGTATAAGAACTACTACGATGTAGATATAGTGTTTGGGTTTCTATGAGCCGCTTAACGATGCGACGTTCGAAAGCACGAGAGTGCCTTTAAGAGCAAACGGCACGCGACTCGCGTTCAGCCAGAAAAACATAGAGAATGGGAGTGAGTGGGTATAAAAGCGAGAGATAGAAAGAGATATAGTTAGAGTGAAAGGAGAGAAAACTAGAGCGAGGGAGGGATAAGTTCAAGCCTTTGATGAGAAAGACGGACTTAAGTACTTGCTCTTTATCTGTCTTTTTTTTCTTCTTCTTCTTCTTCTTCTACCTTACTTCTCTTATGTTCCGTCTGTCCGTCTTTATTTGTCCTATAGTCTGCTTACATCTATATCCGTTTCTTCTTCTTCTTCTTCTTCTTCTTCTTCACCAATCTGTCTTTGTACGTCTAGTTTTACTTGGCTATCTGCCTGTCTGTTGTCACCTGGCTTTTACTACTTGTTATTCATCTGTCGTTGCACTTGCTGTTACTACTTGCACATATCCCGTTTATCTTTTTCTCACTAATTCTCTATCTGTTACTGATTGTTTCCTGTCTGACATTGCAGTACTGCGTGACGACTACTTGTAATGTATAACCCGTCTTTCTAAACTTTCCTCTATCTCCCTTTTACTACTTGCTATTTGTCCGTCATTGCATATCCGTTATTACTTATATCTACATGTCTTTTTTTCTCTCGAACTTTTTTTTCTATTTTTTTTTTTTAAGTGAAAACTTCTTTAGAATGGAAGTGATCTGAACAGTAAATAAACGCGGTCGGTCAGGAAACGGAGCTATGAAACGGAGCTATGAAACTTTTCGGAAAAAACCTAACTACTTTTCGGAAAAAATCTGCAGAAAGGAAATACTAGGAAAATTTCAAAGAGTTCGACGGAAGGCGTTTTTGCATTTCTCGCGTTTAGTTACAATACATTTTTTAGTTTCCAGAAGCAACTTGTCTCATTTCTTCGAATTGAGATTTTGCCTACTGTGTAATATGTTACGTATTATATGTTAATAAAACGTAAATTAATTTTTAAAAGTGTTAACAATATAATAATAATAATTTTATAAAAAAACATCCCTATAATTATCCTACACCTGACATTCTGCATTCGTCTCATTCACTCGAAACTTAGTTTTTATCGAAGGTTTCACTTCTAACACGTGTGATCTGTCCACATGATATTTTTTTTTCTACATCTGTCTTTGCACTGCTGTTCGTTACTATTTAATATAGTTATTCGTCTATATTTTCTTTCTCACACCTTTTCTATTCGCGCGTTGATGATTGTTTCCTGTCTGACATTACCCGTTCGTAACTACTTTGTACGTCTGTCCCCCATCTATCTTCGCTCGAACTATTTGTTACTATTTGCTATTTGTCCGTCATTGTACGACTGTTACTACTTAACTTACGCGTACAACTCTTCTTTTTTTCTTCTTACTACGTTTGCGGCTGTCGTTGCGTTTATTTTACTACTTCAACACGTCTGTCAACCTATATTCTCTGTCTTACTCTTTCGTTTCTTTTACTACTTGGTTAAACTGTCTGTTGTGTTGTGTGTTCACCATTGGTTCTTACTACTTTCATGTATTATATTTTTCTTCTTATTTTGCTATGTTGTTAGTTGGGTTTTCCGTCTGATGTGCACGTCCCTTACTATTTTCATGTTCGTCTATCTATCCTTCTCTCTCTCTCTCTCTCTCTCTCTTTATTTTTTTCTTTTCTTTCTCTTTTTCTGTATATATCCTATATCGAAGAGACGTTACTCAGCGTAGCAGCATTTTCTTAAAAACTTTGCTAATATTCCCGGGCGCGCGTTGGTCCTGCTCTTGTACCTCGTTAAACTTCTTTCTCGTCCCGCTTACATCGTCGTTTCAAGCGTCAGCGAAACATTCGTCTCGGTTCATGCACGTATATATATACATACATACATATATACATGCATACATACGTGTATATAGTATAGTATGCGCGAATGACTTTTTTTTCTTTTTTTCTTTTTCTTTTTCTTTTTCTATCTCGTGCACGAACGCGCGAGAGAAGTGCCATTAAAACTTTCGGCGATTTAACGTGTGTTAGCGAGGAATAAAAATGGACGAGAAAAAAAACAAAAAAAAAGAAACAAAAAAACCTAAAAGCTAAAGGATCAAAAAAAAGCAAAAGGAAAATTAAAATAAATTGAAACGAATTCTATATATCGTCTATAAACACACTTTTAAGTGCGTCATTTTGCGGGCTAACTGCCAAAGTTAGGAATTTATAACGCGTAAAAAAATTCGTTTTGGGACGTTGTTGTTTCTTCTTCGAGATTAAAAAAAAAAAAAAAAAAAA